CTCGCCGGCTACGCTTTCTATAATTATTACGGTATCGGGGAAAGAGAGAAACGATTGCAGATTGCATAAAAATAACGTGGAAGAACAATATTCCCGGGGTTTGCCCCCGAGTTACATGTCCCTCGATCCTGCTGTTTTAATTTCGTTTCACGAGCAGAGATCGTCTCGCGGTTGGTTATGGATTTTGACGACGAGATGGTCTCGATCGGGCAGAGACGCGCAAACCCATCGCGAGGACGCAGGCACACACAATCGTGTTTTACCAATGCATAACCTGACGTTTCATCTTCAGCCGGCCAGCAGGTGGAGCGTATTTGATGTGCATCGAACAACGTCACCCTGTACAAACACGAGAGAGTACCGGGACCGGGCATATCGGGAAACACAGGGGCTCGTCCCTTTTTTCCCCTAGTCGTTAGCTCGCGACACGCTGGTGGGGGGTGATAAGAAGAACGCAAGCGCCAACCTATCGATCAGCTAACCCTCCGGGTAACACCCTCGCGATCCTCGGCCGAGGCTCACTGCTTCACCGGCAAACTAGTGGGTAGTACACGCACGCGACACAGGTGAGTACCAGTTCCTCAGTTCTTGCCTCCTAAGTGTAATCTAGCAGAGTCTAACACCGAAAACCCCGTCTAATGACAAAATCAACGATTGGAAAAATTCGTCTGATCGAAAGGTTGGTCGAGGATCGACCGGTTCGTAGATTGCTTCTGTATGATCAACGATATTTATTTCTTTTCTTTTTTTTTCTTTTCGGTAGTTCAATGTTTGGCACCGACCAGTAGTCGGCACGGTTCTTGGCAAGGAGATCGTGGATTACTCGCGGCTGTTATTGACGGATTGAAAGGAATAGGAAATTGATTTTTAGCCGGAGGCTATTTTTTAGATTTCTTTTCCGTACAGTCGTAATGTTTATATAGATAATTGTGTGCGTCGGTTTTTTTTCGATATTGAATAAAATTGAACGAGTTATTTATATTTCAGTCCTGTAGTAATAATCAAAAGAAATTTATGTACTATAGCTGAGTGTTTCGTTACGAGTAAAAAATATTTTTATCAAACGATAACAGTGATTCGTAATCAGTTCTTTGTCTCAAGTACATTGTTAGTCGAGATTCGTGTTCGGTTTAAATTTACGCGGGAGCCTATAAACGCAACGGTATGTTGATCGATGAATACGAGATTGCAATTTACAGTGTGCATAAAGTGACGTGACTGTTCTCGCGGCTACGTTGCGTGTTACTTTCACGTGACGTCTCGTTTCTGTGATTTCTACCTTTTCCCCCCTCCCCCTTCCCTGGTTCTTCTGATTCTTTGGTATCGTCGTTGGAAAAAATTCTGTCGTGCAACATTGATTATAAAGAAGTTAAACGAATGATATTACTAACAAAATATACTTGTAACAGCAAATATAGACAATTTAACAATTTAAAGAATTTTACAAGAATAAACTAACACGTTGCTTTACGTTTGAAAAACATAATTGAGTGAATGGATTAAAAATACTACGCCCATTTCTACAAACGAAAAACATCATTAATTATCAGAATAAACTAAACGTAGATACAAATGTAAATAAAATTTGCAATTACTCTCGAACTGAATATTCAACGGTGAGTATTCTTCTCATTTCTTTTCAATTTTTCACGGTAGGTGCACGTTTCTGTGTGCGCAGCTTTGGGCGGTCAATGCGCCTGCCCTTTCCTAACACCTAGGGACTCTTCCGTCATCGATTATTACTAGAGTCTAAGCTAAAACCTCTAGAGATAAAGTGAACGTCGTAGATCCATGAAAATATAAACGCGTAACACGTACAATCACATCTCTCGCGGCGAGATTAATTGAGAAAATTATTTCCAAGCACGTTGAAAAGGATGTTTGTGCACACGTTATTATTATCAAATACACTTTACGCAAGAATACGTACTTTGCACAGTAAATGTTTGAGCAAAAGGTGCGCCGCGAAATCTATTGATTTGAAAAACTTTCTATCACTCTCTGCTCTTTACGAGACTTAACTACGTAACTGTCTACTGTCAACAATTTTGAAAATTGTCTCTACGTTAAAATTAGAAACTGTCGTCAACATCCGTTAATTGATCGATATGAAGTTTAGTACGCTTCAAACAGAGAGATAAACGAGCTAAATATCCTGTCCAACAATAAGTCAGACAGTCTAACAGTCCTACGGTCTATCACGAGAGCAAGGAGAAGGAGACGCGTGAAAAATGCGTGGAAATCCGAAGTGAAGGTGAAATTCGTGTAAGTTCATCCAAGATTCAATTAAGTTTAGAATCTGTCGGATTAACTGAATGCAGGCAGCCAGCCAAGTTGCTGTAAACTTCGTTAGTGTAAAGTTTCCAGTTATTCTGATTGGAAAATGCATTATTCGCGTAGAAATCGGAGTAACTGGCTGGAAATATAAAGAAATCAGGCAATCGAACTTTTCTCGCCGCTCAAGGGGAAAAAATTTTCTTCCGAGTCTCTGTCTCTCTCTCTCCGTCTTGCGCGTTACTCGATTCTGTTTTTTGCTTCCGCGATCGCGGAATAGCGTGTGGCATTCACGAGCAACACTGGCGAGTAATTCCGAGTAATTTGAATGGGAACGTGGGTGAACGCCGATTTTATCAGTTTTCTTTTTGTTCGTAGAAACGTGCATTTCTGCAACTCTCCGTTCTTTAACATCGCTAGTAGTTCGCAAAGACACAAGTACGAGGCAATAAAAACCGTTATCAGGCGATCTCCATGGCGATTTGATATCACGAGTTAAAATCACGCTTCCTATCTGGGGAGAGGGGAACAAAACACCGCTCGTGTAAAAAAAAAAAAAAATTCCTCGGCGTATAAAGTCACGCTTGGTCGTGGTATCGATCAGCGGAATATCAAGCTCTACTTTCGCTGTGCTAAATTTCTGCGAGGGGTCTCCATCTCGCGCGCTCCGAGCGTTCGCGTGGACGTTTTTATCGCGGGCCTTCGCACGAGCTCTTGTTGTTTCTTGCTAATAACACGAACGTTTAATTATAGCGATACTTCAGAGTGAAAAAAAAAAGAAGAAAGAACAGAGGGAGCAGAAAAAAAGTTATCCTCTCTCTTTTAATACCAGTCGACTGATATTTCCGTAGCTTTCAACGGATCTGTCCGGCTCTTATGAAAAAGGCATTAAAAATTTGAACGACGAACTTTTGTCCGGAGATAATATTTTATACATCACTGTCTCTCTCTCTCTCTCTCTCTCTCTCTCT